AATGCAAGGTGCAAATAAGTGAAAAGAGAATCCACGTAAGCTAAAAATAGCAAGAAAACAGAGAATGGTAAACATAAGAGATTTAAATAAATATATTTAGAAATGAAGAAAAGTATCCTCCTCTGTAACAAAGAGATAAAGTAATATTTGTGCATAAGTTCAGTATGGTTTTATAATTTTGAAACTGAAGAGATTTACACTTTAAAATTTTATCTATAATTTATACAAATTTAAGACTATTTTAACTTTCTGGTGAAAATAACTCATAATATTCTTCTTAATCTCTATTATTAATTTTCATCTTAAATCTATATATTTGATATGCCAACCTATTGTGCTTTAATACAAGTGTATCATTTTTCTTTTAAACTAATCATAGCATAACATTTTAGTGTGTCTCTTTTAAGTAGTGTTTCTCCTACTAAGTAAGATTTTTGTTGTTGTAGTTTGAGACAGTGTTTCAGGGTTTCTGTGTGTAACAGCGCTGGCTGTCTTGGAACTCACTCTATAGGCCAGGCTGGCCTTGAAGTGACAGTCCCTCAGAATATTTCATCTTTCTATATTTAAGGTTGTATTTGCTACATTTGAAATTTAATTTGATACATAAACAAGCATTTACAGGTTTTCTTGTCTTACCCTACTACTAGTTGTAAGTCATTTGCTGTTTTAGGGATTATCACAAGCATCCCCTTGGCATCAAAAAAGACTTTTTGATTGTTTTGGATAACTCAAAGACAAAAGAACATTTTAACTCCATTCAACTTCCTGCCCTCCTTTTTAGCTAGTATTGTAATGAGTTTGATTTCTATATCTTTTAAACCCCACATCATTACCATTTTGCATAGAAATTAAGAATTTAGATTTATATAAATATTTACCATTTTTTGCTGCTCTTCATTCCTTTCTGCATCCCCGAAATTTCCATCTGGGATCATATTCTTCTGTTGAAAATGTCTGTGCTTGTTACAAAATCACAGCATGTTCTGTTTTTTTGTCCAAAATGTTTATATTCACTTTCAGTCTGTAGGATTATTTTTAAACAACACAATTCTGTGTTTGTAGTTATTTCCTTTCTGTAATTCCAGTTCATTTTTATGACCAGCATTCCACCACTTCGGATGGCATTGTCTTCTGGCTTGCATTGCTTTATAGTCTAGGTTTTCTTTCTTTCAAGGTATTGGTCCCATGGTTTTCAAAGCAAGGTAGCTTTCCAATGCCTCTGAAGATTTTTAATTCATCAAGCTTTTCTGGTTGATCTCAGTCAAAAGTTTGACAATCAGCATGAAGTCCATCATTATTGGAAGAACTCTGAAAACTTCATAAGTAGCCAACTATTTGGCTGAAGAGGGAAGGAAGACCATATGCTGATATTGAATGAATTTCTGGAGTTGGATAGGGGGCCATTTTAGAGATTATTAAATTTTAGACTAGATTTTGAGACAAGACAACTGACCACAGATGATTAAATGGATAAACAGATGGCATGGATGATTCAATGGAACTTGATTGGTATTAGTCATAAGCAAGGGTACAAAAGGGCATAGTGTGTATCTGTGCTTCACTTTAAAAATATTTTAAGCAGGTAATCATTCCTACCTATCACAGAGTTATTTTGAGGACAAAATGGGAACATGATATGTATTTCTCAGGAAATGATGATTGAAAATATAAATTATTAATGCAGCTATTTACTTGTTTTAAACATTCAGACTCTAAACTTGACTAAGTTGTAAAATGAGGGATCCTGTCTTAGTGAAAAGAAAAAAAACTGTATGCAATTTGCCCTAAGATTGTGGATGTCCTTTAAAATTTTACTCATATAATTAACATTCACTGGTAATTCTCATAGCACTAGAAGAAATATTAATGGTAAAGGGTCTGTGGGTAGGCAAGTTACAGGTTATAGAATACTTGAAGACATGAGAAAATTAAGTAAAATGAGACTGAGTAGGAAGGGAAGCACAAAGTTTAGGAAGCTACTCTGTGGATTCTAAATATATGATTTAAAAGATAAATCTGACTCTTAAAAATCATTTTGCCCCCTATTTTGCTATTATCACTGAATAGTAAATATAGGAGTTATATTGTAGCTGTATCAGTTGGGATTGAGCATCACATGGTCATTGGTTCAGTGGAGACTTAGGGGTAGCTCTAACTATAAACATTATAATATTTATGTAAGGTTACACAAGAAAATGGTAAAAATGCTTTATTTGGATGGCTAGAGAAATAAAGGAGCTTTTAAGTGTAAAACAATAAATCTGGGTTGTCATACAACAATTTCTAATGGAAATAATTTAGGACAGTTATGCCATCCAGACTAGCTACTGCTATGAATATACCAGGTTTATTTATTCAAGAGTTACTTCCATCTAGAATTCAGAAAGCCTAGTGCCTGTTAGTGGGTTCCTATTTCATCTCCTGAGTCTTACTACTTAAATACAAACACGATGTCAGCTAAGTAATTCTAGGCTTCTCCTTCTGAATAAGGATAGCAAATTTAAGTTAAAAGATTATAACATGGTTCAGTATTTGGCATTGTAATACGGAAACAGAATCTGAAATCCAAAAAGGACCAGCCTCTTTTTGAAGCTGGATTATAGATTTCTATAATGTAGTGTAATGGCACATTTTGGAGACACAATACACTTATTTTAGATGACGCATTTTTACATGGAAAGTACCTTATAGTCATGCAGTACTTCAAATACACATTTTTTTAACTTGGAAATAACCCCACTGCTGAACTTCACAACAGAGAAGTTCAGTGAGTAGCCTTTTGAATTTTAAATATCAAAAATTACTGAATAAGCTTTTTATTTAATTAATTAATTTGGTTGAGCCTTGATTTTGTTTAGTTTTGTAGTAAGCCTAAACTTTTCTGCTATTTAATCATCTCTCGGCAACTCTTTTTTTTTTAATAGCAAAACAGATTCTTCAACAAAGCATGTTGGTTTACAGACACACCTATGATTAAGTTACATAATAAATTTCAAAGGTACAGTTAAACTTTTGCCTCTAATAATTTTGGATTACTGATATTGAGAATCAGTACATTTTCTTGTAATAGATTTCACAATTGACTACAGGATCATTGATGACTCAGGGAACTGTAATGGTCACCAAAGACACAAGGAAAATATGAATAAAAATATCATATAATACACATTGTGTAAAGATTTTGGAATATCACAAAAATTTTGCCCTTCATAATCCTTGATTACATTAGTCATAGTTATCTCTATATCAAGTGTGCAAAGCAGTGTATGAAACAAAGCATCTTAGAGGAAAGATGATTTTGATGAGATGTTGGAACACATAATGTGAAAATATCAGTATACTTTCTCACGTAAAATAATGTTCCCAGATAAAGTATAAAACACATTACTCATACTAACTGGAGTATAGAAATGCCGTATTTGTGGTTAGGCTTATTTAGTCATCAAACTATAAGAATTCAAACCAGACATGGTAACACACCTAAAACCCTACCACTTGGGAGTGGAAACAGGAAGATGAGACATTCAAAGCAAGTCTATGCTACATGACATTTTCAAAAGCCAGCTTAGATTACATGAGACCACACCACACAAACAAACAAGCAAACCTAAAACAAAATGCATGATACAATTTTCTAATTTTTTAAGCCACAGTAAAGTAGTTACTATAACTTAATCATCAATGCTTAATGAGATGTAGCAAAAATACTGCAGGTAGCTGATATAGAAGGAATCATATTAGCTTAATATCGTCCTTGCCAACACAAAAACCTTATCTATTCAGTATTTACGTTTGAATTCCAGTGTTGCTTTCTTCTTTCAGGATACTTGTGACCATGGAAAGAGAAGAACTGTTAAGGAATGGATCAAGAGAAAAGTAGGAAGAGCAAGAAACATGCCTAATTTCAGAGATGAAATTATCATAAAGCCAATGAAGGTTAAATTCTAGAGCCCCTTTCTTGAACCGGCTATTTTCAAGGGCCTGAGAGTATTTAGTGTGTAATATTTGAGAACTTTAAAAATTCATGATTTGCTGTGATTTTTCTTATTATGAATGTTCAATGTGTATGTACTTTATACCTTTTTAAACAGGAGCTGCCAAACTGTGTACTCCTCAGACTTTTGAAAATCTATTTCCTCCCTTGTTACATGTGCTTCATCAATTGTTTTTATAATTTGATTTTAATATCCTCCAGATTCTTACATATAATAAAATAATATATAATAAATATATAATAAATAAAATAATATAATAAAATAAAAACAAAAGACAAGACTAAGAGTAAAAGGAAATAGGCTAGAAGAAAATGCATAAATATTGTAAAAATTGTAAATGATATTCTATATTATATGTATTTTTCTATAATAAACATTGATACTTTGAATTTAGAGAAATTTTAATAACAAAATTAAGGAAATGAGTATAACAAGCAATATGTAATTCATAAAAAATACAGCAATTAAATCAAATTATTACTTTTTATATGCTTGTAGAAGAAACAATAACAAGAAATTGAATTTATACACAAGACATACACACAAACACACACACACATAAACACACACACACACACACACACACACACACACACACATACACACACACACCCCAAATACTGGTATAACAAATTTAATTCATTAAAAATTATCTGTAATTTAAGAATAACATTAATTTTACAGAATTTTACACTGTTACCATAACCAGAGTTTTAAGATAATTATATCAGCTATACTTTAAATACCTGAAAATTTATGACCTTCTAAGCCCAATATTAACTGACTGATTAATAAAGTTGATATTTCACCATTATATAAAGCATTCATTTAAAATTAATATGACTATATGTTAAAAATAGGTTATTACATTTTGCATAATATATACCGAAAAAAAGAAAAACAAAAAAATCACAAGTGATCTTTGTTAGAGAGAATATTAGAGCATTTGTAAATCTTTTATTAATACTTTATATTAATGACAATTCTTTGGTTAAAATTGCTTACCACTTGCACCCTTGGTGGTCTCTCTTCAAGGAGAACAGATCCTGGAACTTGTATTTCTGGTTTTGGAAGATCAGGTGGCAGAGCAATTATGTAGCGGCACATTTTATTCACATCCTTGCACTAAGAAAAGAAACCAAAAAAAGATACACAATACATCAATTTTTACCTCAGTGATAATATGAATTTTCCATAATTTTCAGTAAAAACCTATCTATCAAGAGGAAACTGCAAAATACACAGACTGGAAAAACATTCATTTCTCAACAAGGTCTGGTAGAATGAGTCAAATGTATAGTTTTGAAATAAAAAAGTTTCATTTTCTTAGATAAATTCAGTCATGATATGGGCTATAAGCAGGTAAGGAGAATGGCTAAAAATATATTATGAATGTTTAATTGCATTGAAATAATATTTTCATGGAAGAATGGCCCTCATAAATGCATATATTTGAATACTTGGTCCTCACTTCATTGAACTGTTTTGGAAGGATTAGGAGGTGTGTATTTGTTGGAAGAGGTGTGTCACCAGGGGTGAGCTTTGGGGTTCAACACCCCACACCATGCCCAGTTATCTTTCCCCTCTTCCTCCTCTGTATCATGCTTGTAGATCAGAGTATATGGTCCCAGCTATTACTATTTCAGCATCATGCTTTCCTTCCTGCTGTCATGCTCTGCATCATGATGGTTATAGACTCACCCTTGTAAATTGTAAGGCACTAATTAACTGTTTCTTATGTAAGTGTCCTTGGCCATAGTGTCTTATCACAAAAAAAGATGTAACCAAGACATATTACATCTACTTATCCATTCACTACAGCCTGCTTTCAAACACATTTCATACAAAGATTGTTAGTATATCATTGAAGATATGCATTTTTCAGGCACAATAATATCATTCTCTAAATATTCACTAAAGGAAAGTTAAACAATATAAATCTTGTTTCTAGTCACCTTGTTCTAAGAATTAGATTATGAAATGTCAGTTATGAAAATGTCATTGTTGTGTTTTGAAAATGAAATGTTACCCATAATTTCATGTGTTTAGCCACTCACTATTCTAGTTGACAATGCTTTTTAGAAGGATCTTGAACTTTTAGGAGGTAGAACTTTACAGAAGAAATGAGTCACTGAGCAGCATGACTTAAGTTAGGCCTAGCCCCTCTTTCCACTTTCTGCTTCCTGACTATGAACAATTTCCTCAAGTTCCTGCTGCTATGTCTTCTGTCATGATGCATTGTTTTGCCTTTTAAACCATAAAACAAAAAAACTCCTTCCTTAAGTTGTGTCTTTTTCAGGTATTTGATAAACAGCAATAAAAGTACCTATTATGCCATAATGAAAACCATTATTTGGACCTCTTTTCTTTTTCTTTCTTTTTTTTTAAGATTTATTTATTATGAATACAACATCCTGCCTCCATGCATGTCTGCACGCCAGAAGAGGGCACCAGATCTCATTATGGATGGTTGTGAGCCACCATATGGTTGCTGGGAATTGAACTCAGGACCTCTGGAAGAGCAATCAGTGCTCTTAACCTCTGAGACATCTCTCCAGCCCGAAAACCATTATTTTTATGGTGGTAAAATATTATTTATAATATAATAAGATTAAAAGTTAGGAAATCAATTTTGACATTTTAAATTAAGGGACAAATGATCCAGTAAACTACCTACTCACCTATTATTCATTTTAATGTGGGAACTACATAATTTACATATAACACAGCATAATTGCCAGACTATATAGATCTCTACAAATATGTACTGCTGACAATTATCATACAATATAAACAAGTTTCGAGAATGTAAGAGAACATTACAGCCTTTGTAATATTGCCTTTAAGTAAAAGGCCATAGGAAAATACACTGTTTTAAACTGTTAACTCCTGCAAGCATATATGATTCTTCTAATATTATTATCTTGAATGTCAAATACACTCATGTAGTAGGTCACTGTAGATCTTAATACAGGTGATATAGTGATAACTAAAAGGGAGTGTTTAATATAGAAGCACCTATGATGGCACATTAGAAAATCTTGTAAGCTTTATAATCACATTTCAAAAAGGCATCCTTCCTTTACCCTTCTTATGTATTCTCTGTAGATGTCACATAAGTAATTAGTACTAGGAAAATTTTGAGAAGACAGAACATATCCAAAGCACTCAGGTACTACCAAGTACAACATGAAAACATAAGTCCCTACTACCATCTGAGACAATGAAGACTGAAACAAAATTAGAGAATTCTACCTTTTAAGAAAACAAATGTTAAATGAATTAAAATCTATATATGTTACCCCTGAACAATGGTAACTCTCTGGAAGTTCACAGCAAATAACAGATGTATGTTATACAATTTTGTACTAAGGCTATTTGTCTTAGCCATTCTGATATACACATTCAACTATCAACTAATAATACTATTATTTTTAATTATAGGCAACATACAAGTATTAGATCTCCAAAATTCATTCCTTGACAGACTTTATAAACTGCCATGAGTTTTTGATGTGTCTGCTCTTCAGAAAGGTGTAACTGTTTTCTTTCTTCTTGAGAATGCCTTTTCTTATATTATAAGGTTCTTCGCTCTCTCTACAGCACCCCTCCCTAACATATGGTTGTGAATCCTCAAAGCGGCAAACACCCATGCCTACTTAACTCAAACAGCATGATTTGTTCCTTTTCTCTACTCACACCTCCCCTGTAGCTCCTGAGAATTATAGCTTGCCTGCCTTACAGTTTGTCCATTAAAAGTTCAATGGAATTGTACTTAGTCTTCAAAAAAATGCATTCCTCTTGTCTGATTGAAACATACTCTATCCCCAACCCTACCTCACCCATCAGCCTCTAGGAATTATCATTCCAGTCAGTATTGCCATGTCTTCATTAAGGAAGCAGTGCATTCAGTGTTTGTGAGTGCTATGAGAAAATATGATAAGCATGTAAAGTGATGGATATGTTAATTGGCTTGATTTACTCCACAAGACAGACAGACGCACACACACACACACACACACTAAGAGACAGAGAGAGACAGAGAGACAGAGATCTCATATCACCTTCAAACCTATAAATAGATATAATTACTATTTTTTAGACAAGGGTCTTGTTATGTTGTGCAAGTTGGCCTTTAATTCATAAACCTCCTTTTGCAGAACACAGAGCACTTGTATTACAGATGCTCACAATCAGCCTGACTATAACTTTTTGCATATATTCATTCATAACACTTGATAATTGTTATGTAATTGATATAGGAATAGAGTGATTTAAATTGGAAAAAAGAATAGAATATACTCTTTATACTCATGATCATACCAAATATACATTTTACTCTTCATAATTGTTTCAATTTAGTACAAACAAAATTAAAATGCAATTTACAGATATCACACATATACCTATATAGTTGGATTTTTAGAGAACCAGAATATTTGATTATTACCTTAAATAATATTCAGCTCAACCCTTTTGAGATTGGCTCTTATACTATTGTAAGGCTATTGTGTCATAAAATTCAAAGCAAAAGTGAGGATCATAAGTTTAGACATTTTACATTTTTATTGCTAAACACAGTGTTTGGAAAATAATGTATATTCATTACAGTTTTTTATTAATGGGAGCAATTGATTTTTACTTTTCCAAGTGGGAATCAGGAATCTATTTAGCTCCTAATTTTTTGTTTATATTTACTGTGTACATGTGATAAAATGTGCTAATACAACTTGTAAATATGGGAAAATCTAAAGAAACACTTTTATATTTCCTTCAGTGGAGAATATTTGATAAGTGTAAATTTTTTTGCATGCTTAACTATAAGTCTTAAGCAACAAAATAAAACAAATAAGTGGGCATCTTGTTTTATTTGAAATTTAAATTTCTTCTACTCCAGGGTATATTCTTACCCTCATGATAATTGCTCTTGCCTTGGCTCTGCTGTTCTACAACTCAAAATTGGGATAATGGCTTATTCCAGTAATTTTAGCTTTCCCTGAGTAATTAGCATGTTGAATTATAGAAATATGAAGTTAATTCAACAGAAAAGAAAATACACACAAAGTGTATGTAACAAAATTTTTTCCTTTGTTAAATGATTCATAAGCCTAAATGAAAAATACTTTTTAACAAAAGTAAACTCTGTTATAATAGGAGTTAAAAGTTTTAATGAAATTGTTATCTTAAATCTGTTGAGTAAAAATTACTCTAGGTGTGTTAACACGTATATATTTTTCTATTTCAGATACAATTTCTTGCATTTCTATATAAAACATCTGCTTCTGTATGAAATAATTTTCATAAAATTTCATAAAGTAGAAGGATTTCTAATTTTTAGGAAGAAGATATGAAAGCCATCAAATAAAACAACAAATATGAAAATGACTATTCAAAATTTATTTTGGATAAAAAATGATAAGAAAAATGCTTTAGGATGAGAAAAGATTTTATATGGTAAAATAATATTTGTCTTAAAATAAAAGAATGTTCTAACTGAAAATACACAGAAGACAAAACGAGAAGATTAGAATTGCTTTGAAAAGAGTGATGTCTAAATTTAAAGACAACATGATTATAGTTGAGTTGTCTATAATTGGAGGTTATTAAAATTCCTAAGGTCAAAATCGAGACCTCAATATAAAACTTATATTTGTATTTGCAGCAATAATATTTTAAAATATTCAAATGCTTAAGAACATAAAAATGGCTTAGAAAAAATTTCTTATTCTTTTACTAACCAAGGAATTAAAAACCTGGATTATACTTAACCCAAATGCTAAATTTGTTTTTTCCTCAGGTGACAAAACTTTCATTTGCTGGATCTCGACTTCCTTAGAGTTAGGAAAGAATCTATTAAAAGTCTTCATTTGGCCTAGAGGGATGGCTCAGGTGTTAAAGTTTAGGCTCCCAACAAAAAAATAAAAATGATCATTTCAAATATGAGCCTTTGTGTATGGTTATAAACAATCATAAAACATACTTGTTTTATGAACAAATTTTTACACACATTTATAAAATTTGGCCTATAATACAAAATTTCATCATTCTTATAATCCTCTACCTTATACATTGGTGACTAAGTAAACAAATAACACTAACTAACTGTCAAAAATTTAATAAAGCTT